CCTGTCCATCACCAACTCCCGAAACTTGCTCAAACTCATATCCATTGAGTCAGTATGCCATCCAACCATCTCATCCTCTGTTGTCCCCTTCTCCTCTTGCCTTTAATCTTTCCTAGCATCAGGGGCTTTGCATGTCCAATGAGTCAGTTCTTTGCATCAGGTGGACAAGGTATTGGGGTTTCAACTTCAGCATCAGTCCTTCCAATGAATATTCAGGGTTGATTTCCTTTAGGATTGACTAGTTGGATCTCCTTGCAGTTCAAGGGACTCTCAAGAGTCTTCTCCAACACCACAGTTCAAAAGCATCAATTCTTTGGCACTCAGCTTTCTTTATAGTCCAACTGTCACATCCACATAACTACTGGAAAAACCATCGCTTTGACTAGATGGACTTTATTGGTAAAGTAATGTCTCTGCTTTTAATATGCTGTCTAGGTTTGTCATAACTTTTCTTCCAAGGAACAAGCATCTTTTAATTTCATGGCTGCAATCACCGTCTGCATTTTAGAGCCCCCCCAAATAAAGTCTCTCACTGTTTCCATTGTTTCCCCATCTATTTGCCATGAAGTGATGGGACTGGATGCCATAATCTTAGTTTTCTGAAAGTTGAGCTTTAAGCCAACATTTTCACTCTCCTCTTTCACTCTCATTAAGAGGCTCTTTAGTTCTTCTTCACTTTCTGCCATAAGGGTGGTGTCATCTGCATATCTGAGGTTAGTGATATTTCTCCTGCCAATCTTGATACCAGCTTGTGCTTCATCCAACCCTGCATTTCACAAGATATACTCTGCATATAAGTTAAATAAGCAAGGTGACAATAAATAGCCTTGACGTACTCCTTTCCCTATTTGGAACCAGTCTTTTGTTCCATGTCCAGTTCTGACTGTTGTATTTTGATCTGCATACAGATTTCTCAGGTGGTCTGGTATCCCCATCTCTTTCAGAATTTCCCAGTTTGCTGTGATCCACACAGCCAAAGGCTTTGGCATAGTCAATAAAGCTGAAGTAGATGTTTTTCTGGAATTCCTTTGCTTTTTTGATGATCCAACGGATTTTAGCAATTTGATCTCTGGTTCCTCTGCCTTTTCTAAAATCCAGCTTGAACATCTGGAAGTTCACAGTTCATGTACTGTTGAAGCCTGGCTTGGAGAATTTTGAGCATTACTCTGCTAGGGTGTGAAATGAGTGTAATTGTGCGGTAGTTTGAGCATTCTTTGGCATTGCCTTTCTTTGGGATTGGAATGAAAACTGACCTTTTCAGTCCTGGGGACACTGGTGAGTTTTCCAAATTTTCTGACATATTGAGCTCAGCACTTTCACAGCCTGATCTTTTAGGATTTGAAATAGCTCAACTGGAATTCCATCACTTCCACTAGTTTGTAGTGATGCTTCCTAAGGCCCACTTGACTTAGCATTCCAGGATGTCTGGCTCAAGGTGAGTGATAGCACCACTGTGGTTGTCTGAGTCATGAAGATATTTTTTGTATAGCTCTACTGTGTATTCTTGCCACCTGTTATGTAGCCAGAATAGGAAAAAGGAGTCCAGAATGGAGGTGGCTAAAAGACAAGGAAGGGAAAAGCCTGTAAAAATAGAACAAAGGAAAGTCCAAGGATCAGAGTAAGGACCTCAGGTAGAACAAACAACACTCCTGGCTGGCCCAATTTATATAGGGCAGGCCCAAGGGGAGGAAAAAACATATAAAAAGAGGAGCCAGTATACTGTATTGGTCTTTATCTTTCTGGCTTACTTCACTCTATAAAATGGGCTCCAGTTTCATCCAACTCATTAGAACTGATTCAAATGAATTCTTTCTAATGGCTGAGTAATATTCCCTAGTGTATATGTACCACAGCTTCCTTATCCATTCATCTGCTGATGGGCATCTAGGTTGCTTCCATGTCCTGGCTATTATAAACAGTACTTCGATGAACATTGGGGTACACATGTCTCTTTCAGGTCTGGTTTCCTCGGTGTGTATGCTCAGGAGTGGGATTGCTGGGTGATATGGCAGTTCTATTTCCATAACGCATATATATGGAATTTAAAAAGATGGTAATGATAACCCTATATACAAAACAGAAAAAGAAACACAGATGTACAGAACAGACTTTAAGACTCTGTAGGAGAAAGCGAGGGTGGGATGTTCAGAGAGAACAGCATTGAAACAAGTATACTATCAAGGGTGAAACAGATCACCAGCCCAGGTTGGATGCATGAGACAAGTGCTCAGGGCTGGTGCACTGGGAAAACCCAGAGGGATGGGATGGAGAGGGAGGTGGGAGGGGGGATCGGGATGGGGAACACATGTAAATCCATGACTGATTCATGTCAATGTATGGCAAAAACCACTACAATATTGTAAAGTAATTAGCCTCCAACTAATAAAAATAAATGGAAAAAAAAAAATCTTAAAATGAGAAAAAAAAAGAGGAGCCAAAGGGCTGGGACTCTCTTGCATGCATGCACGCACTCTCTTGCTCTCTCTCTTGCTCTCTCTCTCCTCTCTTCGAGTCTTCTGGGTTGCCATGCCCTCACACCTCGAGGATGTATTTTCCTTTATTTTCTAAATAAAACTGAGCTGTAACACAGAGCTGCAACACTGATCTGTCTGAGAGCTGTAACACTAATCTGTCTGAGAGCTGTGACATACTGAAGGCTTTAACATCCGTCACTTCAAATTTTTGCTGTGACAAGACAGAACCAAGGAAATTACCCACACCCCTGACATGTATGGTACCACGACTCAGATTAAACCTGGCTGAAACAACTTTGGCATGGCCCCTGCAAGGAGGAGGCCAAGCACAGCAGGAGCCCAACCCTGGGAAATCTCCCGCGGCAGAAGCAGAAGGCAAAGAAAACCCAGCACAGGGAAGTAACAAGAAGCCCAGGGTGCTAGAAACAGGGACAGCAAAAAATGAACTCAGCAGAAAGCTCACGTGGCTCAGTCGCAGGTTCGAGAAGACCTCCAGTTAAGGTAGGAGGTCCTCGCTCCTATGGCTGGAGGGACATATGCCTAACAAAATCTTAATTCCTTTACAATCTCTTGTTTCTTGTTTCCTAGAAACCCCTGCAAACAGGCGGGCAGCAGTGGGTACAACTGAGGGACTCTGGAGAGGCTACTCCTCAGTATGTCCCAAAGGCTCCACTCTCTGCTGGGCCCCAGTAGCTGTTACCTAAGCCAGTGGGGGTTCTTCTGTCCTTAATCTTCTTTGTGCCAAGGATCAGGCCAATGAAAACTGTGAGCACATTTCAGTTCAGTTCAGTCGCTCAGTCGTGTGGGACTCCTTGCGACCCCATGAATTGCAGCACGCCAGGCCTCCCTGTCCATCACCAACTCCCGGAGTTTACTCAAACTCATGCCCATCGAGTCGGTGATGCCATCCAGCCATCTCATCCTCTGTCATCCCCTTCTCCTCCTGCCTCCAATCCCTCCCAGCATTAGGGTCTTTTCAAATGAGTCAACTGTTCGCATGAGGTGGCCAAAGTACTGGAGTTTCAGCCTAAGCATCAGTCCTTCCAATGAACACCCAGGACTGATCTCCTTTAGGATGGACTGGTTGGATCTCCTTGCAATCCAAGGGACTCTCAAGAGTCTTCTCCAACACCACAGTTCAAAAGCATCAATTTTTCAGCACTCAGCTTTCTTTACAGTCCAACTCTCACATCCATACATGACCACTGGAAAAACCATAGCCTTGGCTAGACCTTTGTTGGAAAGGAATGTCTCTGTTTTTTAATATGCTATCTAGGTTGGTCATAACTTTCCTTCCAAGGAGTAAGCGTCTTTTAATTTCATGGCTGCAATCACCATCTGCAGTAATTTTGGAGCCCAAATAGTAAAGTCTGACACTGCTTCCATTGTGAGCACAGATTAGGTATTTAGCAGATTTTCCGGCAGGCTATGAAGGGGATCCCTTGGCACATTTTTCCCACTGCCTTTTCCTCCCTGTCCTTCAGTTCCTCTCTTCCGGGACTTGAGCCCAACCAAAACCCATGATGCCTGGCTTCAAGAGCTAATGAAGCTCAGGCTCTGATGTCTCATAGCAAAAATTCAGTGAGAGACACAGCAATAGGTAAGAGGTGGATTTGTTAGGATTCAGAGAGAAGCACACTGCAGGGTATGGGCCATTGCCAAGGGCAAGGGCTTCAGCCAAGGAATGGGTCTGGCTAGGTTTTGGGAGCTGGGTGAATTCATGTGCTAATGAATGGGAGGACCATCCCAACCATTGGGGAACCACCCACTCCACCTTCTTTAGACAGCACCTTGGAGCTGTCCTGCCATTTCTGGGTGTGTCGTTTAGTTTACAGATTGGGGATTAAGGTTTACTTGAATTTGATTGCCATCTTGGGCCCAACTGATTTTAATCAGTTTATGTTATGCCCTTGCTCTATGTCATTCTTTCAAAAGTTGTGCCCTGCCCCCTTCCCTCCTGTTTCATGCTCTTTTCCTGAGCCCCAACCAGGCCCACAATGTTGCCTCTACGATCTTCTGGAGGGACAACCAGAAAATAGCTGGCCCTTCCTTGGCAGGGAAATACTGTATAATATCCAATCCCTCTAGATATTCAGGCCCTCATCTTCCATATTTCCTACAACACGTGCAACATCAGCGTCTCTCAGTGAACCTGCTAGGGTAGGAGACAGGCACACAATGCCTGCTAAAAGTCCATCTGTTGGCATCCCTTCAAAGGCAATTGGGCTTCCAGGGGTAATGTTTGCACTTTGGGAGTTAGCCTTGCAGGCTGTTTGGGCCCAAACCCTCACCACCCTTCTCCTAAAGTTACAAACATAACCCCAGATCAAATCGCCACTCCACTTTTATGGAACATCTGGTCTGTTGCCTCTTACCAATTTGTTCTTAAGCCAATTACTAACTCCTGCAACCAAGACCCTGCCCCCTTGTAGGCAACATTGCTCCTCCCAGTCTATTACTAAAATACTTTAATGCCCCTAACAGGGCCAAACAACCCACTCCTTTGTCATTACTTCTTTTTTTTTTTTTTTTTTTTAGCTAGAAGAAAACTTTACTGTCAGGCTCTGCAGGGCCACGGGACCTCAGGAAGGGTCCTTACTGGGCTGGCCCAGCCTCCTCTAAGGCATTCAATAATATTAGTAATTAAATAGCAATGCTCATCCCCCAAGCGGAATGTACACCAGAAGTCCCATTGTGCCATGTGGTCCCGAGGGGTCTGGTCCCATGAGGTCTGGTCCCCAAGAGGCAGGGGCACTCCCTGATGCAGAGGGGTTAAGGCCACAAAGGAAAAGGAGAGAGGGAACAGGGGACTGGGGGCAGCTGGGCTGGTCCGTCACATCCAGGAATCCGGCTCGGTCCTTGGGCTGACTGAGTGAAGGGCATGCCAGGTCCCGGACCCCGTGGGTCCGGGTTGGCGGCGGGGGCCCCTTGGTGTGGGGATGCGTGAGGGTTTTCGGTCTGGCTGTGTGTCCATCTGGCCTCGTGCCCAGGTCCTCAGGGGCTCTGGGCCGGTCAGAGGACTCCCCGGAGCATCTGGTGGGCCCCCTACACCGGGGCAGGGGCTGCCCTCATCGGAAGAGCTGGACAGGGCTGGGCCTCGGGGCCCAGGCAGCCCATTGGCCATCCTGCCAGAGTCCCCGGGTTGCCCACACTTGCTACCCAGGACGCTGAGGGACAAAGAAGAGGAGCTGGAGGAACAGTAGGCTGAGTCAGGAGCTGGAGGGTCTGGGGCCCGAATTGGGTCAGGGGCTGGTCCACTGGGGGTCCCACCAGTAACAGCCTCAAGGGCTCGGGCGTTGGCCAGGAACTCCTCTTCCAGGCGCCGAAACAGTTGCTGTTCCTGCTTTGGGTCAAGCTTCAAGGGTGTGCGGAAGACACTGGCCGGGATTGTGCTCAACTCTGGACTGGGGCTGGGGACCCTGGGAGCTGCAGGGCTGTGGGCACGGGGAGTATGGGGACTGCTTCTGCCCGAGCCCGCACTGCCTCGGCCCCGCGGCACCCAGGAGTGCTGTCCATCTCGGTCCCGACGCACCAGTAGCACTGCCTGGTCTTCACGGCTCTGACTCCGGGCCCGCCGGGCAGGGCTGGGGGCGGATAGCTGGCCTCCCCTGCCTCCTGGGGCCCCACGCGGCCGCCCCCGATCCAGCCGGTCCCGGGACTGGCTGCGTGGGGCGGGAGGCCGTCTCGGGGAGGCCGGGGTGCCCGTGGTCACACGCCGGCTGGGACGCTCCCTCCGGGGGCCAGTGCCTGAGTCTTCACTGCGGGCACCAAGGGGGCCGCTCTGGGCCGAGGAGGCTGAGGAATCGCTGTCCCCAGAGTAACGGCGGGAGCGGGGATGGGGGGGCAGCTGGTCCCGGACCCTGAGTGGGGTCTCGGGCCCCTCCTTCCAGCTGCGTAAGCCAATGGGTGTCACCTCTGGGCGGGAGCCCCGGCGCTCCCCCCCTGGGGCTGGGCTGCCAGCTCGGGGGCTGGGGCTGGGTGACACTCGCTGCGGGGAGAAGGTGCGCGTCCTGGGCTGGGGCGGGCGGTGGGCCGCGGAGGAGCAGCGGCAGGGGTCGTGCTTGTCCAGGTAGTGCTCCAGCGTGTCCCAGCCGCCTCCCACACGCACCATCACGTGGCTCCTCAGCACCCTCGCAAAGATGAGCAGACTGGAGTCTCCCACGCGGTACTTCCCCTCCGAGACCTTGATCATGGGAAACTGGTCTGGGCAGGTGCAGCGCCCCAAGATCTCCCTCACCAGCTCATCGAGGTTGCGCAGGTCGCTGGGCGTCATGCGCGCCCACGGGCTGGAGCTCCCGGGGCGGTGGTCTCGGCGGTGTCCTCCCCCGCACTGGGGGCGTTGGGGGCTGGGGGCGCGGCGCACAGCTCCCGCTCAATCTCCTGCTCGAACTGCACGAGACGAGGGGCCAGCAGGCCGAGGCGGGCCCCGCGCCGCGCCACCTCCAGCAGGCAGAGCACCACGCTCTTCTCGTTCTTGCGCAGCACCAAGTCCTCCGTCTCGAACATGAGCACTTCGGGCACACCCAGCTCCGCACGGCACCAGCCGATGAAGGTGGCCACGTTGTCTCGGGCCATGAAGGAGCCCGGCACCACGCTGTGAGCCTGGAAGGCCACCCCGCGGGCAGGCCGGGCAGCAGCCATGGCGCGGGCGGCCTCGGTGACGGCATTGGCATGCTGGCACAGAGTGGTGCCCGTGGCCAGCCCCGTCAGGAAGCCGTCGCCACCGCTGGGCAGACCCAGGCCGTACAAGGCGTTGAGCCACTCGGCCAGGTCCTCCTTCATGGCCTCCACGTAGGCCTCGCTTGAGCGGAACGGCCGCACACTCTTGGCTGCGGAGCCAGCGATGCCCGCCACGGGGTCTGCCATGCCCGGGCCAGCCGAGTCACTGGCTCATCCCGCGGCCTCGGGGAGCATCGCCCCGGCTGGACCGGAGCCGGGGCGGGCCGCCGAAGGGAGGCGCCGCCCGAGCCGCAGCAGATCCCGGTCCCACCGCCTGTCATTACTTCTGTTAATACCTAAAGTGGGTCTATGACAATGAAATGTTTACTATTGGAGACACCCTAACCTGCTCTTATGGAGGATTAGGGGAGGAAATCAGTGACTTACATTCCCTTAGAGCAGTAAAAGGATAAGGCTTATGATCTCTTTACCAGATTCCCAGTTTCAGGAACCTGGCTTAGGAACAGGCTTAGCTTGCTCCCACTCCAGTATTCAGGCCTGGAAAATCCCTTGGACGGAGGAAGCTGGTAGGCTACAGTCCATAGGGTCACAAAGAGTCAGACACGACTGAGCGACTTCACTTTCACTAGATTGCTTTACATCATGGTATCTATTCCCATCTGCAGTGAACAAACTGGCAATGAGTTAAAATTACAACCCCTTAATCCTACCCAGCACTGGTCATTCTGGAGACCTTGGGGACGCCCAACTCCAGTCCAGGGGTCCCAGGAGGTCGACCTGCCTCGATCTGCCTAGGAATCTGTTCCCCGGGAGGTTGTCACGCCTCAACCTGTTCAGGGATCTGCCAGTCCGGGGGGGTCCCAGGAGGTCAACCTGTCTTGACCTGCCTAGGGATCTGGTCCTCGAAAGGTTGTCATACCTCAACCTGCTTGGGGATCTGCCAGTCCAGGGGTCCCAGGAGGTCGACATGCCTCCACTTGCCCAGGGACCCAATTCTGAGGAGGTGAACCTGCCTCAACCTGCCGGGGGATTCAATCTCTAGGAGGCTGTTATGCCTCAGTTTGCCTGGGGATCTGCACCCTGACCTGGGGATGCCTGGCTCTCAGGTTCCAACAGTACTGGGTAGGATAAGCTTCAGAAAGACTCACCCTAAGGAAGTCCACCCATGGAAATAGAAGGAAACCTATTACTTGTGGAACTGGGCCCAGTCTCAGCAGTAACTCAGGAGCCCAAGAAGAACCCCATTGCCTTTTTGGAAAGGTTAAAAGAGGCCCTCCAAAAGTTTACCAATCTGGACTTAGACTCTTACAAGGAACAGGTGATTTTAAAGGACAAATGCCTGTCCCAATGTTTATCAGACATCAGGATAAAGTTACAACAGCTACAGCAGCAGGACCCTGCTGTCTCTTGAGATGAGATGGTCCAGGCAGCCACCAATACCTTTTATAACAGAAAACAGATGAGGAAGGCCAAGGCCAAGGAGAGGGAAAAAAGGAGAGACAAGGCATGCCTAGATGCTGGCTGCCCTCCAGGGAAGCCCTACGGCAAACCTTGAGTCCTTGAAGGACAACTTCAGTTCAGTTCAGTCACTCAGTTGTGTCTGATTCTTTGCAACCCCATGGCCTGGAGCACACCAGGCATTCCTGTCCATCATCAACTCCCAGAGTTTACCCAAACTCAAGTCCATTGAGTCGGTGATGTCATCCAGCCATCTCATCCTCTATCATCCCCTTCTCCTCCTACCTTCAATCTTTCCCAGCATCAGGGTCTTATCAACTGAGTCAGCTCTTCACATCAGGTGGCCAAAGTACTGGAGTTTCAGCAATATCAATCCTTCCAATGAACATTCAGAACTGATTTTCAATCAGATGGATGCTTGGCTCTCCTTGCAGTCCAAGGGACTCTCAAGCATCTTCTCCAACACCACAGTTCAAAAACATAAATTCTTCAGCAATAAGCTTTTTTCATAGTCCAACTCTCACATCCATACACGACTACTGGAAAAACCATACCCTTGATTAGATGGATCTTTGTTGGCAAAGTAATGTCTCTGCTTTTTAACATGCTGTCTAGGTTGGCCATAACTTTTCTTAAAAGCAGTAAGCGTCATTTTATTTCATGGCTGCAATCACCATCTACAGTGATTTTGGAGCCCAAGAAAATAAAGTCTGCACTGTTTCCACTGTTTCTCCATCTATTTGCCATGAAGTGATGGGTCCAGATGCCATGATCTTAGTTTTCTGAATGTTGAGCTTTAAGCCAACTTTTTCACTCTCCTTCTTCACTTTCATCAAGAGGCTCTTTAGTTCTTCACTTTCTGCCATAAGGGTGGTGTGATCTGCATATCTGAGGTTATTGATATTTCTCCTGGCAATCTTGATTCCAGCTTGTGCTTCATCCAGCCGAGCATTTCTCATGGTGTACTCTGCATATAAGTTAAATAAGCAGGGTGACAATATACAGCCTTTACATATTCCTTTCCATATTTGGAACCAGTCTGTTGTTCCATGTCCATTTCTAACTGTTGCTTCCTAACCTGCATACAGGTTTCTCAAGAGGCAGGTCAGGTGGTCTGGTATTCCCATCTCTTTCAGAATTTTCCACAGTTTATTGTGATCCACACAGTCAAAGGCTTTGGCATAGTCAATAAAGCAGAAATAGATGTTTTTCTGGAACTCTCTTGCTTTTTCGATGATCCAGCGGATATTGGCAATTTGATCTCTGGTTCCTCTGCCTTTTCTAAAACCAGCTTGAACATCTGGAAGTTCACGGTTCACGTATTGCTGAAGCCTGGCTTGGAGAGTTTTGAGCATTACTTTACTAGCGTGTGAGATGAGTGCAATTGTGCGGTAGTTTGAGCATTCTTTGGCATTGCCTTTCTTTGGGATTGGAATGAAAACTGACCTTTTCCAGTCCTGTGGCCACTGCTGAGTTTTCCAAATTTGCTGGCATATTGAGTGCAGCACTTTCACAGCATCATCTTTCAGGATTTGAAATAGCTCAACTGGAATTCCATCACCTCTACTAGCTTTGTTTGTAGTGATGCTTCCTAAGGCCCATTTGACGTCACATTCCAGGATGTCTGGCTTTAGGTGAGTGATCACACCATCGTGATTAACTGGGTTGTTAAGATCTTTTTTTGTACAGTTCTTCTGTGTATTCTTGCCACCTCTTCATAATATCTTCTGCTTCTCTCAGGTCCAGACCATTTCTGTCCTTTATTGAGCCCATCTTTGCATGAAATGTCCCCTTGGTACCTCTTATTTTCCTGAAGACATCTCAAGTATTTCCCACTCTATTGTTTTCCTCTATTTATTTGCACTGATTGTTGAGGAAGGTTTCTTATCTCTCCTTGCTATTCTTTGGAACTCTGCATTCAAATGGGTATATCTTTCCTTTTCTCCCTTGCTTTCCACTTCTCTTCTTTTCACAGCTATTTGTAAGGCCTACTCAGACATCCATCTTGTTTTTTGCATTTATTTTTCATGGGGATGGTCTTGATCCCTGTCTTCTGACCAATGTCATGAATCTCTGTCCATAGTTCATCAGGCACTCTGTCTATCAAATCTAATCCCTTAAATCTATCTCTCACCTCCACCGTATAAGCATAAGGGATTTGATTTAGGTCATATCTGAATGGTTTAGTGGTTTTCCCCACTTTCTTCAATTTAAGTCTGAATTTGGCAATAAGGAATTCATGATCTGAGCCATAGTCCATTCCTGGTCTTGTTTTTGCTAACTGTTTAGAGCTTCTCCATGTTTGGCTGCAAAGAATATAATCAATCTGATTTCGGTGTTGGCCATCTGGTGACGTCCATGTGTACAGTTTTCTCTTGTGTTGTTGGAAGAGGGTGTTTGCTATGACCAGTGCGTTCTCTTGGTAAAACTCTATTAGCCTTTGCCCTGCTTCATTCTGTACTCCAAGGCCAAATTTGCCTGTTACTTCAGATGTTTCTTGACTTTCTACTTTTGCATTCCAGTCCCCTATAATGAAAAGGACATCTTTTTTGGATATTAGTTCTAAAAGGTCTTGTAGGTCTTCATAGAACTGTTCAATTTCAGCTTCTTTAGTGTTACTGGTCAGGGCATAGGCTTGGATTACTGTGATATTGAATGGTTTGCATTAGAAATGAACAGAGATCATTCTGTTGTTTTTGAGATTGCATCCAAGTGCTGCATTTCGGACTCTTTTGTTGACTCTGATGGCTACTCCATTTCTTCTAAGGCATTCCTGCCCACAATAGTAGATATAATGGTCATCTGAATTAAATTCACCCATTCCAGTCCACTTTAATTTGCTTATTCCTAGAATGTCAACAGTCACTCTTGCCATCTCCTGTTTGACCGCTTCCAGTTTGCCTTGATTCATGCACCTAACATTCCAGGTTCCTATGCAATATCGCTCTTTACAGCAATTGGACCTTGCTTTTATCACCAGTCACATCCACAACTGGGTGTTGTTTTTGCTTTAGCTCCATCCCTTCATTCTTTCTGAAGTTATTTCTTCACTGATCTCTAATAGCACATTGGGCACCTACCAACCTGGGGAGTTTATCTTTCAGTATCCTATCTTTTTGCCTTTTCATACTGTTCATGAGGTTCTCAAGGCAAGAATACTGAAGTGGTTTGCCATTCCCTTCTCCAGTGGCCCACATTCTGTCAAACCTCTCCACCATGACCCATCCATCCTTGGTGGCCCCACACAGCATGGCCTAGTTTCACTGAGTTAGACAAGGCTATGGGCCATGTGATCAGATTGGCTAGTTGTCTGTGATTGTGGTTTCAGTCTGTCTGCCCTCAGATGCCCTCTCTCAGCACCGTCTTACTTGGGTTTCTCTTACCTTGGATGTGAGATATCTCTTCACGGCTGCTCCAGCAAAGCACAGCCGCTGCTCCTTACCTTGGACGTTATCATATGACCTTGAGTTATCACATGATCCAACAATTCCACTCCTGGGTATATACATATACATCCATAAATGTACATATATGAAGCAGCATTATTCCTAATAGCCAAAAACTGGAAATCACACAAATGTTCATCAACTGATGAATGCATAAGTAAAATGTGGTATACATTGATACAATAGAATATTATTCAGCCATAAAGAGGAATGAATGTTATCAGTAGACACATTTAACATGGATAAACCTTGAAAACATGATGTTAAGTGAAAAGAAACCAG